TTTGTCATAACCAATAGTAACTCACTAGCCAAATCATTTTTCTTCTTCGGTTAAGCGGCATCTTTGATTTGAATATAACTGTATTTCTACCAAAAGATGCTTAAGTCAGTTTCATTCCTCTGCCGATACTGGGAGCAAGGAGCAAAATTTATGTATTATTTGTCTAAGGTTGTTTATTATTACATCTTGGACATCCACTAGCTCGTTGTATATTGTTTTTATTTTTGTCAAGTTCATTTTTAGGCTAACTTTATTGCTAGCTTCATTTAGTTCGCTTATAAGTTCTTGTAGTTCTGCAGGATTATTAGTAGTGAGGACGATGTCGTCTGCAAATTTTAGATAGCTAAGGTATTCTTTGATCAATGGATAGGCCTGTTTTCTGTCTAGTTAATTTTGCTGAATACAGTTCTCTCTCCCTATAACGATATGCAAGGGACCGGGAAATTTTCATCGGTATAAGGAGAGATCGTTATACAGAGAGAGACAAAATTCGATACTGTAATATTAAAAATACTGTACTAAAATAACCTATTTTAATTCAAAAAAATATCAAAACGAATATACGTAAATGAATTAACATTGTATTGTACACCACATAGATTTATTAAAGAATAATATAAGCAATACAGTATAGAAAAATGACTGTACAATTAAAACATGTATACTGTACAATAACAAATTAATCTGCTTTAAAATATACTTAGCCTATATTACCAAAAAGTCTGTCACCTCGGTCTTTTTTCTTTTCCCTTTCCACAGAACTGACCTGACCTTGTCCTGAAGACGCAAAGAATCTTCCACAGCACTCATATCGTTTCCTGGTGGATAAAGAATCGATGCAGTACTTTTGCCGCATCCAATGCCTGCTGAGGGGTCGAAGCTCTGGCTCCTTCTGGCTCTGTTTTCACCTTCCGGGTCACTGTTTTCTTCTTCTTCTACACGAACTGCTTGTAGGATGTCCTCGTCAGAGAGTACAGATGTTGAAGCTACATTTTCATCAACTTCTTTAAAATCTGTTAGCTCTTCCGGACTGTAGGTAATAGTAAGTTCAAACTGTCTGGTCTAAACAGCTAATGGCAGATCATCTTCATCATCAGTCAATCCTTGATCTTACAGCCATCCTGCATGCTTAAAGGAATGTTTTATTGTATCGTCACCTCATCCCAGGATTTACTAATCATAAGTATGGCGTCAATAATGCTTAGTTTAAGGTCGCCATTGTTCTCAACCAATTTCATCAAAAGTCTTCTCCTGTAATGGCTTTTCATACTCTTGATGAAACTTTGGTCTATGGGCCGAAGGACACTCGTTATGTCTGCTGGCAGAAAACAAAGATCAATGTTTTGAAGGTCGTACAGTACAGAATGAGCAGGACAATTGTCTACATGCTGAAGAATTTTGTTTCCTTTAAGCTCGATATCCACTTTCTTATCGCTTTGTCACCGTAGACTTTTTTTTTAAAGTAACGTGGATTTTTCGACTACCCAATCACTTACAATTTTCGCTTCGCCGAACCTATAATGTAAGCGACCTCCAAAAATTGTAATGCGCTCCTTAGAGAGCTTTCCACCAACGCACTTTTCCGATTTAAATTTTGAAGTTCTGTTTGGTGTCATTTAAAAACAAATCCAGTCTCTTCAGCATTGAAAATGTCATTTGACGCATATCGTGTCTTCAGTCCAGGCCACACGTTTTCCAGCCTATCATCCGTTACGTTTTTGTTAACCCTCAGATGCCCCTCAGATGCCTTAAAATTCTCAATCCCAAGCTCATTTGCAAAAAAATCTCAGCTTTTGTCCTGACCACAGGCGCAGAAAGTGGATTATGGTTCATTACGATGCTGCTGGAACCACTGAAGCATAGCGCGATCTAAGTCTTCGTGCTGAGGTTTCCACAACTTCTTCCTGCTACCGTACTTAACACTCTGATAAGAATGAGTAGAATTGGTGGTCGCATTGTTTATCGCAAAACGAAACAACCTTGCCAATCGTGACTCAGGTAGTCTAAAATTTAAATACAATAACACATTTATCATCGACTATTGAACGCTAAAAAGTCATCGCTATAAAGAGAGAACGATATCGGTATAGAGAAAGATTTAATACATTGTCCTTATGACGAACCAACCAAAGTTTACTATTTTCATCGTTATAGAGAAATTATCGTTATATAGGGAATCGTTATAAAGACAGACTACTGTATATTTTCTAGAGTTGCAATAAAGAGCTTTGGTGATATTGTGTCTCCTTGTTGGACGCCTCTAAGAGTGGGAAATTATGGACTGTTTTCATAACTTTTTTTCTGAGCTTTTGCTTTTCTATATATATTTGCTTAAGTCTCTATATATGGTTTGTAAGCTTCTATTACTGACTTGGGATCAATTGAATTGAAAGGTTCTAACTCAAAATCTATTAAGATTAATGCTAGCGGTATTTCATATTCTTCATCTCTGCTCATTATTTCTCGAAGCTTCTGATATGATCCATGGTACTGAATTCACTTCTAAAGCTATTTTCCTCTCTTGACTGTAAAGCATCTAATGTATTTTTTAACATATTGTTGGTGATATTTGTGAGTATCTTGTATATGAGGATATTAATCCTCTTTGCTTCCTTTCTTATGAATGAGAATTATAATTGTTATATTTCAGAAATCTGATATGCATCTTAATCTCAAGCAAGTCATAAATATGCCTGCTGAGATATTCCAGGTTTTTTGCCAGCGTATTTAAGCAGTTTCACTATTATGTCCCGCTTTTAATTTTTGTAATTGTCGATTTTACTTTTTATTCGGAAGGACTTCTAGTATATTTTCTTTATTACTAATTGCTTCTTCAAGTCTTTCAGAAACTTTGCATCCTTCGCTGCAGAATTTAGTCACGAATTGTATTATTTCATTTCTGCCTGTACTGTGCTGATTCCCATGACGTCCCATTTTATTTTTTTAAATTTCTTTTTCAGTTCAATAAGTTTGAATTAATTTGAAAACAACAACGTGTTTTTTATTTTAGAGGTTATGAGGTGTACGTTACCTGGCTCTGTTTGGATTGTTTAAGGGTTCCCTAGTGTGTTTCGATTATAAGGCGACTATATTCGATTTTCGCCCTCTTCCTTTTGCTTTATAATGTACCTCCTTCTTCTTCTCTTCTTTATGTGCCGTCTTCTACCGAAGGTTGGCGACCATCATACGATAGGTTTCTCTGTTTTGTGCCGCATTAATTATGTTCGCAGCTTCTGGTATTTGAAACCATTCTCTCAAGTTTCTCAGCCAGGATTTCTTCTTTCTGCCCAAACCTCTTCTACCTTCAATCTTGCCTTCCACGATAAGCTATAGCAGACTGTACTTATCATTACGGAACACATGGCCCAGGTATGACGCTTTCCTCCTTTTAACAGTTGTTAACAATTCCACCATTTGTTAACTTACCCATTTGTCTTAATACCTTTGTGTTGGTCACTCTGTCTGTCCAAGATATTCTCAGTATGCGTCGAATACAGCCACATTTCTAGAGCCGCTAACTTCTTTATAGTTGCTGCTGTTAACGTCCACCCTTCTACGGGTGGCTTAGGTTGCGGTTGCTTAAAAGCTTTCTCATTTGGATGAATTTGGATCTTGCTATTTCAATTCGGATCTTAATCTCTACTTCTGGGTCCCACTTGTCATTTACTGTATATCCCAGATATTTAAATCGGTGTACTCTTTCAATACGTTCGTCTTCAATATGCAGGTCGATATGTTGAAATTTTTTTTACTGATCACCATAAATTTAGTTTTCTTTCTATTGATCTTCAGTCCAAATCGGCTGCCAGTTGTATTAACTCTATGTAGCATCATCTGTAAGTCTTCGATGTTATCGGCCAGTATAATAGTATCATCTGCATATCGAAAATTACTTATTGGTACGCCATTAATCTTGATGCCCTCATTGTACTCTTCTAGTGCCTCTAGAAATTTTTGTTCCGTGTACAGGTTGAAAAGCAGTGGCGAAAGAATACAGCCCTGTCTTATCCCTTTAGAAATGGTTATGTTTTCACTCACCATATGTCCATTCTTCATGTGGGCTGTTTGATTCCAATAAAGATTTTTTATAATCTGGATGTCCTTAGTGTCAAGTCCTGAAAGACGTAATAGTTCTATGAGTTTGTCATGTTTGATAGTATCGAATGTCTTTCTCATAGTCGATTAAAACAGACGTAAACATCTTTCTGTTGATCCAGGTATTTTTGAATCAAAACTTGTATTATATAGATGCGGTTTTGGAACTCTCGAGTTCCAAAACCGCATCTAAAACCGAACTGTGTTTTACTTAATGCTGTGTTCTAATTTTTTCTAATGTACCTCCAACTTCCATAATATGCCATATATTGCGGAGACTATGCTACTTATATCTTCGTGGACTAGGAGGTAGGATTTATTGGCAGAGCTAGCCGACTCTTTAGATCATTTGTTATTAATTCGTTACTATCAGTCAGGCACTTACTGGATATTTTAATGCTTTGCTCTTTTCAGTAAAAGAGCAACCTCTCCGATATCTGTACAAAAGTTTAATCCCGAATGGAATTATATGTAAATCTAATTGCAGATAACTATAGGAGAAACTATTAAAAATATAGGTAGCTGGAACAGAACTTTTAAAACGGTTGTAAAATCACAATAGTTTAAGTGGCATAGAAAGTCTCAACGTTAATAAGAATTGCCAGTAAAATGACTTAAGATAAGAACTCTTACTATATTTTTCGTAATATTAAAAATTATCTTTGAGTGTTCATAAGTTTCATTATTTTTCCGTTGTCTTTAAAAGTAGAAAAGTTTAGACATATCTTTTCTGGAATTGAAATATTTGAATTAATCTTCCAAAAATAGAAAAATACCTTTTGTATTATTTAAAGAAGAAAAATATTCTGGCTTCCTGGTTTTCTTAAACGTTCCAAAAAATTGGTTATGCGTAAGCTTCAAAAATTTTGTTGCAATAAGACACAAAGAAAAACATTTTTACTTACCGAAGCGAACAAGTCGAGTGAGATTGTAAAGAATTTTGCTCCCGAAATTGACATAGCCTTTTGACATTGTTGGCAGACGATTTGTACAAAAGTCTTTGCTTCTTCGGATCCGTCATACCAATGACAACTGTAAGCTGCCTCCATAACTGAAGAACTCTGTAAATAAATAAAAGTATTTTAAATTTTAGAAGTACATAATTGTATTTTGATATAAAAATCACAAACATTAATCATTATTATTGTTTGTATTTTGAGAAACATTTCCGAAGTGAAAACTGAAACGTCAATAAACGTACTTTAACCTTTAGTTATGGCTTATTCCCATTTATATAGTAATTACTTAAAAATGCCACAAAAAAATAGCTTTAGAACAATATGATGGATGTAGGAGCTCTCAATGCATTTATAGTGGAAACTTGCCCAATGGCGACCACCCAGTTAAGGCATATAATATTATAAATTCAATCTATAATATAACAATTAATTTAAACTTCAACTTAGCAAGTTGTTTAATACAGATAAACCACTCTGCAAGCACATATGAGTATTAGAAGACTTAAAAAATCGAGAAAAGTTTTAGAAAGCACCAGAATAAAAACTTGTTATTTTACCGCACTATGACACTATGCCCCGTGTCTCCAGATTTACTAGAGGTCCAAAGGGTCTGGTTATTTTAATCTTCTTACGTGTGAATTGTTGAGCAGATCCGTGGCCAGTGGATTTGGATGGTAGAATCGTCTAGTCTTTTATGCAAAGTTTACAGCAGATATTCGCTACCTGTTGATAGCTGTACATCATGGGTAATCTGTGGTTCGTAATATACCAAGGGTCATTGCATATCTAGCGCAGTACTTTCGATTGGAATTATGAAAATTTTGTATATTGGTATTATTTGCTATACCCCATATTTGTGCTACATATAGCCATATCGGTTGTAAAATACATTTATAAATCAGAAGTTTGTTTTCCAGGCTAAAATTAGATTTTCGACTCATGCACCATTACATTGTCGTGCAGATTACGCTAAGTTGAAGGGGTTTCTTCCAGATGTGGATGCCCCAATAAACTTTGCTATACAAATGAATTCCTAAGTATTTAACGACGGTATTAACTGGTAGTGGAGTGTTGTTTATAGAAACTGGTAGCGCTTCACCTTTTTTTTTAAGTAAACGTTATTTGTGTTGACTTGGACTCGCCACAGTTTATGCCAGCTTTTTAGTTTAAGTAGGTGATTTTGCAATATCTAGGATGCTTTAGTTGCTGTAGAATTTGAAGCCATGATAACTGTGCGATCGGCATATGTAGCGATTGTTATATTTATCGTCATTAAGATATCTGATGTGTATATTAAGTAGAGGGTGGGTCCTAGTATGCTTCCTCGTGGAACTCCAGAAGATATTGGAAACAGGTTAGTGATTTCCTCACCTCTTTTGACTTAAAAGAATCAATCTTAATGTAAGATCTTAAGATGAGGAAATATGGATTTACTTTTAGAGATATGATCTACATGCCAAGCTTTGTCAAATGCTTGAACGACATCTAGAAATGCTGCAGTATAGTAATTTTTAGTGATTGAGCAAATTTCTAATAGTCTTTACCACCCCATGAATTTGCTCGATGGTTCCATTTTGTTTCCTATGCCCAAACTTATAATTCGGTAAAACATTACTGTCATAAAATAAGCTCCAGTCTTCTCAGAAAAAGCCGATTAAATATTTAGATTAATATAATAGGCAACAAGCTGGGCCGTGGCCGTAGGAAAATACTTCCGTGTCATCCTTATTAAAGTTTTGGAATAAGAACAATTTGAGCAACTTTCCATTGGAGTGGGAAAATAACCTGTTCTTAATATTGAATTAAACATATATGTAATTAAGCTTACGCCTTCGTTGGGTAGATTTTTAAGTACTAAACTGGATATTTGATTATCTCCAGGTAAATTTTTAATTTACAGATTATCAATTATTTCTGTGATAGCCATATGATATGGTGCATTTATGACTTCATGAATAGCATCCTCTTATAGAATAGCGTACCTCGCGTAGGTAATTTTCAAAAGAATATACTTTATCTATATCAGATTTAGCCCAAATGCCGTTTAGTTTCCTGATTGGCATATTTAATTGTGCGCTACGTAAGTAATAGGTTTTTTTCTTAGTTTTCACAGCAAATAGTTTGTATCATCTTCAAGTGAGAGGTTCTTCTAATGTTTGTTGATTTCATTGTCTTTATGTTGCATCAGTTTTATTTTCAGTAGTCTGCAAACTCTATTAAGATTTGCTTGATCTTCTAGATCGTCGCAGTTTTTTTTTTTAACATGATGTATTTATTTGAGCAGGATAGGACTTGGAGTTATGTTTCTAAGTAATTTCTAACCCCCTCTGTGGCTCAAGTGGTAAGAGCGCCTGCCTTTAAACCTAAAGGTCGTGAGTTCGAATCCCACCTGGGTGGAAATTTTCGTTTATTAAAAAAATTAATAAATGAAAATAATTTCTATCCTTGTGTGATCGGTACACACCGGAGGGACCGCAGACGTTTCGGATACAATTAGCGTCTCTTGGCAAAGACAATGACGTCGACTTTGCTAAGTATCAAGACAATTACTCTACACACACACACAACACAGTACACCTCAAATTGTAAGATTGGCGAATGGATTTAGTGTCCGCAGTCATTTAAACACAAACAAAAAAAAAAAAAAAAAGTAATTTCTGGCGTGGATGTCCAAGCAGCTTGCTGAATAACTGTAGTTAAGTCAGCAACTACATTTTTTATCTCGTTATCACTTTTAAGAGCCAAGTTTAGATTAACGGATGTTTTTATTTCTTCTCTATATCTGTTCCAGTTTTTTTCTTTTATTAGAGATTGTTAAATGTTTAGGATATTTACGAATTTGACTTTGTAGATCTATGAAGAAAGGGGAATTATCTGATAAGAGTTCAAATGAAGGAGGATTTTGGAGGTGGGTATGTGATATTCTTTTTACTATATCGAAATAATAAGATCAGAAAATTTATGTCTATCAGTGGGCCAATAAGTAGGTTCTCCCGTGGAGAGACGAATTCAATGATTTTTATTAATACTTTTTATTAATTTTCATCCACGTGAGGTTACATGAAAATAAGGCCGGGAAACGGAATTTCCAAAAGCATATTCTTGAAGATATGAGAAAAAAATTTGTGAAAATTCACAACTACAATGAAGACCCGACTGTCAACCAAATTGTAAAAAAAACGATGCTGCTTGTGCTGATCCAAAAAGTATTGAAAATTCAAACGCGTTAATGCCTAAGTGTAATTTTAAGCCATAAACTGGACAAATAAATTAAGAAACGGAGCAGAATTCAAGAGATTAGGGAGGCTTATGTCCAATATTGGACATAAGCCTCCCTAATTTTATTGAACGCATGGAGTAAGAATGAACTGAAATTTTCGCTAACCTATTTTACATAATTAAAGAGAATAAAATAAAGTGGATATTGCAGTTACTTACCTCTTCAATAAGTCTGTTACCAAAAATACAGAAATGAAACACTTGAGCCAAGGCATAAACCAAATACCCAATAACAGTTGCTGCGTAGGGATTAACACCATTTATCTACAGAAAACCAAAAGTGTCAATAATAATATAAATCTTATATATTAGATCGAAGATAGTACCTTGGTTGCTTGGTAAGCTAGCAAAGTCAGCATAACAGTTGACGTCAACATATGTAGTAAAAGAGCAACACCATAAGCATCGCCAATGGCTGTTACTAATCTGAAAATATAAAATAAAATTATTGTATTAATTGATTTTTAAAAAGTTTATTTTTTTTTTTTTGGTGGAGTATGTTAATTTTTTTTTATATTAAATTTTATATTAAAAATAACGAATAATGTAAAAAACTAATAAAATAATTATTAATATATTGCATTAACTATAATAGTAATAAATTACAGTGTAGTTCTGATTCAATGAAAATATTGATAATAACCAAGATAACTAGGACTTTACCTCACAACGTGCTTATGTCTTTCTACCCAGTACTTGATAGCCGATCTGACCATAAGTTCTTGTTTCTTTGTTAGTCCGTTTGGTCCAACACCTCCGCCTCCTGGTCCAAATGTCTGCAGTGCTCCAGATCTAAAGTTGGCTCCCATTTCTTGCCTGGTATTATATACCCCTTTAAGGTTTAATTCTTCATTTTTCGTATTATAATCTGCAAAGAAATTGTAGGAAATATAATCATTAATATTTATTTAAATTAAAATTAAAATAAACGGGCTTACACCTTTTACTTTTTAAATAGGTACCACCAAGAGCCAATACCTGTAAAAGTCATTATTTGTCAATATGTTAAATAGACAGAAGTATAGTTTTTTTACGTTAAGAATGAAAATGTGACAGTCTAGTAACTTTTAAATGTCCAACCATACAGCAAACTCCCCATGCCCCTCTCCCTATAGATTCTAATAAATCTAGTGACTTTTGGTGAAATATCGGTTGGCAAAATATTGCAATATTGCCAGTGCATTTCTCACGGCTTTTTGTTTTGTGAACAGGAGGCACAGAACAGAAGTGGAGTGGAGGTTAGGTCCCACCCAAAATAAAAAAACAATATTCTGTGGTTAGGTGGTGTTGGTTATTTATTTTTTTCGTTTCAATTTTTGCTATAAATTAAACTAAAAAAGTTTTTTTCAGAACTAATATTTGTAAATTTGAAAATTTTATAATTTTCAAATATGCCTAAAGCTTTAGGAAGTTGTGCGCAGAAAACGGTCATTTCTTTAATTTCATACTTTGAGGCAGAACGTGATCATCAATCTATGTTACTTCCGTTTAAAGCAGTTTAGGAATGTAAGTAATTATTTGTTCTATTTCTTTTTAAATAGTCATATAAAATGTGAGCAATATTAAATTTTACATTTTTTAAACAATCCTATTTTATTTTGATTAAAAGTGAGGTTATATGAAAGTTTTTATTTTTAGAGGGTAGCAGCGGCGTTAAATAATTAGCCTGCCCCTTGTAAATAAAATTGCAGTAAAAGCCAATAGGGGTGAACCATTAAGAAGCCCAAAGCAAAAAAGATGTTTTTTTAAAGACAACAACCTGTTAGGTAGCTCTGTCATTCACAATTCTTGACACAATTGCTTTTAAAACTTCTGCTTGTATATACAAGTTTGCTCCATGAACAAGTTCTTTTTATATATATCCGGTTTTTTAGGCGTTACGTTCGTCCAGTAGGGATCTATGGAGGAGTATCACCGAGCCGCAAGCCCTTATCTCTTGCCGTACTGCTCCACCATAGGCCGATCAGATCCCAGCATATTCTAGTCTAAGCCGCAGATTCATCTAGAATTTTAAACTGCTGCGTTAGACTTTTTGTTTTTCTGTACACCGAGCTGGGGCTCGATCCCACATCCACTGAACCATTCGACAGTGAAGCGAATGAAAGGCAGCCGCACAGCCCGCTGAGCTATCTGACCGACACAAACAAAGTTCTTTTTCTAGGTTTAAATTCTTGACATTTAAGATGCTGTAAATCACTTTCTACTTTATAAATAGAATTTGTTTAAAGAGATCACAATCACTACAGAAAAATATAACTGGTCATTGTTTTAATAATCTTAATGGTTAGTTTGTTGTAATTTGAAATGGTAACAAAAGTTACAAAGAATAATCAGTTTCTATGCTTGAATGTTCTTGCAAGTTCCACAATTTGTATCCATACTTTTATTGATGGCCTATTTATCAATTCCAAAAAAACTTTGTTTTCTTATGATAATTACCTAATCATGTTTGTTTTAAAAATAATTTAAATTATAAATTTGTACCCGATAAAACTTCATTTTAGGAAGATATAAAACATTAGTTATAAAAGATGGGTATAAATTATTTATAGTTAAAAATTTACAATTTAAACACAAAAGTATTAAAAGAAAACAACGAAAAGTTAGGTTATGTGTAAACTTATAAACATCAAAAGTGATCAACTTGTTTTTAATAGCAAAAAATGAAAAGTTAGGTTATATGTGTTTTAAGAAGAATATAAGAAATGGAAACATAGTTTGGCAACGATGCACCTGATCGTTGTGTGACGTCATCACATTCTTATCGTAAAAAAAGTGTAGGCTTACCATTTTCAATAAGATTATCTTGGGATGTTGCGCTTGGGGCTCTGAATAAATCCGCACTCTTAGGAACATACGTATCTAAAGATGCTGATAGTTCCTAAAATAAAATGATTTGTAAAATTATTGTTGCGTTTCAGAAACTAAATCAGAAATATCAAATTAAAAACAGTATTTTATATTATTGTATATAAAATTTTAATAAAGAAAACTTAATAGGTAATTGTTTTAATATTTTCTAATTTCTTTTTATATAGAGATAATATGAGAAATTTTCTGTATAAGCATTTGCTAAAGTCAAAACGTTGCAATGCTTCAAGTAGATACTTTAAGAACTCCAGAAGAGTGCGTCCAGGGTTGATGCTGTTAATTTGTATATTATTTAACGATTTATTTTTATATATTTTTTAGTTAATTATAATTATCATTCCGCAATTTACTTAACTTTTTACTTTTTGTTAACAAGTTATCTATTTTGTTCTGTTTCCTTTAACAACAAATCATATCATATCACATATCATAACACCCATCATAACATATCACATATCATAACATATCATAATGTAGTCAGTTTCCAGCTGTTCTCCGGGCGTAGAGTTTTTTAACAACAAGATGTATTATCTTTGATAACTATAAGTAATTTAAAGGGTTTTTACCCATGTATTTTTGGTGGCTCAGGCATTTTAACCTAGCAGATTTTAAACCTGATGATGGACTGTTTAGTCCGAAAACGTTTGTTTTTTTGATGTAGCCCTTTTAAGGGTTTTTAAATAAATATACCCACTTACAAAGACTAACCTCTTTTTTTTATATCATAATGTCTATACAATTTATTGAGTAATACCTGATGGTCTGGTCCGGATGATATTTCTAGTATTTTTATTAAACACCCTCCAGTTAGTGCTCACAAATAACTTCTAAATCTGTTCAGTATTATTTGGTTACAGCACAAATTTCCTGAACAATGGCATAATTTCACAGTAATACCTATAGAAAAACCTCACCTTACAACAAGTCCCGAGATGTGCTAGGGATAAGTTGCTAAAAAACATTATTAATCGCAGACTTAGATAGCACCTGAAGAGACAAGATTTAATTATTCCAGAACAAAGTTGTTTTAGAGAGCAAAGATCAACCATAGATAATATCATTGATTTGGAAAGTGACATTTATGAAACATTCAAAGTAAGGACTAAATATCTAGCCGGTTTTCTTTGACATTTTAAGAGCTTTCTCTATATAGTCTGGTACGATTTTATAATAAAAAAAATTACATAGTTCGAATATCTCCGGACACTGCTTCTTCTTAATTAAAAACTTTCTTCAAAATAGAACTCTCAGAGTTAGGACAAACAGCAGAAGATTAGATATATTGTATCCAGAAAACGGCATTTCTCAAGGTTCTGTTAGTCTTACTTGTTTTTCTTACAAGTCCTACCCTCTTCATAGTGGCAATCAATAAATAATATTTTAAAAAATATAAAATCGCCTATAAAAGCACGAGTCTATGCGGATGATCTTGTAGTTAGTTTTTAGTTGTAGTCAAACACAGAACTATATATACAACACGCAGAACTCCGGTCACAAAAAAAACAGGTTTCTGTTTTTCGACTAAACAAACTCATTTTATTCTGTTTTCTAAGCAAAATGTGACAAACACCCCCAACCTAAGACTATGTGAACCTTAAACGTATAACGTTTTAACTTCTACGTTAACTTTATAACGTAAATCTTCTAAAAACTCTGGCCAATAAAATAAAAAATGTGGTGCAGATTGCCAAACATTTTTGATGTTATCTTCTTCTTCTTCTTCTTAAAGTGCCCTCCTCTCAATGGAGGTTGGCTACTTAAAATTTTAAAACTCTTTTCTATCTTCAGCTGTTCTTATTAGCTGTTCAAAATTTAGCCCTGTCCATTGTCGGATGTTTCTGAGCCACGATAGTCTTTTCCTTTCTAGGCCTCTCTTTCCCTCGATTTTTCCTTTCACTATAAGTTGGGCATATTGGTACTTATTATTTCTCAGTATGTGGCCTAGGTATGATGTTATACAGAACACTAATTAGATCAAAATTAGATTATGGATCAACTGTGTATTCTATAGCCATTAAGACTCTGTTAAAAAACTTGACAGTCTTCACAATCTCTCTTTACGTGTAATACTTGGAGCTTTTGGGGCAACCTTAATTGTTTATTGTGACGTTGATAAAGTGTCCCTAGAAGACAAACCCTAATATTCAAAATTGTTTTACAAAAAAGTTCAAAAAATGACTCCATAAATAAGCCAAAAACGGCCAAACACTCCAATCATTCTCACTTCCTCCATGGCAAATAAAGAACCCTCAGTGCCTAAACCGCCTCATTTCTTTCGACAAACATTCAACAAACCAACAGTTAATCATATCCGCCTTTAATGAGATGCTTTACAACTACAGGGATTATACACGCATATACACAGATGCATCTAAATCAAATGAAGGTCCTGGTGCCGTAGTCATAACCCTATCATCGACAAATAAATACAAACACTCTATACAACGCCACCCTTGCGGTCGACACATCCAATAATACCAATTATATCATACTCACAGACTCTCTAAGTTCCGTACATTCAATCCAATAAGTCTGACCAACTGGTCCTTTGGTCATCAATATAAAGCAAAAAGTTCATACCACTCAACTGCATGAAAAAAAATATTATACATTTCTGGATACCATTTGATTTTGGAATTCAAGGAGACGAAGAGGTAGATAACGCTGAAAAAGAAGCTGCAACTACTGATAGTGCGGACTGTACTGAAACATTTACGAATGCGGATGTGAAAGCGGCGGTCAGATGTGAAGTGCAATATAATTATATGGGAAGAAAAATGGAAAGTGTCATCGGCCAAGTTACGCGATAGTAAAAAATCGATAACACTCTGGCCCACAACAAGTGACCCACAACAATTTGTTTTCCAACAAACAAAAACCAAGATGTGATAACTGTGAAGAATAGTTAACAATCAAACGTGTATTAAAGAAATGTCTAGCATTAACGCCAAAGCGCATGTTGTACAATATACCCAACAAATTAATTGATATTTTAGGTCTACAGTGTAAAATGTCAAACTTAAAAAGTTTCTTAACTTTAATTAACATTCTATATACTATCTACATATAAATATAAAATAAGACAAATTATTGTTCGCTACCATTGTTACCAACAACGGATTAATGCATGTTAAAGAACAAATTCTGCAAAATACTGTTACAGAGAAAAAGTGTTTATTAATAAAGACAGAAATAGATAAAAGTCAAAACGAAATTCTAATACAAACCAGATATAAAAAGAAGCAATGGATGACGGAAGAAATTTTATATTAATGGAAGAAAGACGTCAATATAAGAACAAAGATAATCAGATGTACAAAAATGTGGAAAATAAATAAAATACAGAACTAAGAAAGCAAAAAAACAATGGCTTACAAAACAATGCGCAGAAATAGAAGAATACCAGAAAAGACATGATAGTTTTAACACACATAAAAAAATTAAAGAATTAACTCACAACAATAGAAAAAGAAAACCGGGAATACTGAAAGATGCAAATGGGAAACTTGTGTTGAATACTAACGACAAATTAAAGAGATGGACAGAATACATCAATGAACTGTTCAAAGACAATAGAACATAACAGATGGAGATATAAGTAGAAGAGGATATGGTTTTAAATATATTAAAAGAGGAAATTAAAATGGCATTAAAAACAGCAAAAATGGTAAAGCATTAGGTCCAGACGAAATCCCTATAGAAATCTTAAAATGCATGAATGATTAAACCTTAGACATTATAGTAGACTTATTCAACTCAGTATACAAAATAGGACACATACCGAAACAATCGTTACTCTCCACCTTTTGTGCTATCCCTAAAAATACAAACGCTAAAAATTGCAGTGAATACAGAACAATATCGCTAATAAGTCACATTCTCAAATTATTCCTGAAAAATAATATATGGTCGTATAAATAAAAAACTGGAAGAAGGAATAGAGATGATAGTCAGTTTGAGTTCAGAAACGGACTAGGAACCAGAGAAGCGTTATTTTCTTTTAATGTGTTTAGCTCAAAGATGCATGGATATGAATGTTGATGTGTAGGTTTGTTACGTTAATTTTGAAAAAGCATTTGACAAAGTAAGACATTCTAAAGACACAAAACATAGACCACAGGGACTTACGAATAATTCCTTTACTGGAATCAAAGAGCACAAATCGTAATAGAGTACGAACCCAGTCCAGAAATTGAAATCAAGAGAGTAATTAGGCAGGAATGTATTATGTCCCCCTTACTATTTAATGTATATAGTGAAGCCATTTTTGAAGAAGCATTACTAACTCAAAGTGAAGGAATAATAGTTAACGGAAGATCTATTAACAACATAAGATATGCAGACGACACCGTGAATATTGCAAGCTCTGCTGAACAACTCCAATTACTGCTAAACAAAACAAACAGTTTCTGTGAAAAATATGGATTAAAAATGAATATAAAAAAGTCCAAATACATGATAATAACAAAGAAAACAAATATACCAACAAACATACATTTAGGAAATATACCGATAGAAAGGGTTGATAAATACAAATACCTAGGACCTGGATTTCAGACAATAATGATCACACAACCTAATTAAGAGCTAGGATAGAAATAGCAAAGATCTTAGAACATTAACTGAGAGTAAGAGCACTGAGATGGATACTGCAGTATGGATTTCGATACTGCAATATGGACTTGAAAGCTGGACATTAAAGCAAGAACACATAAATAAGTTACAGTCCTTTGAAATGTGGTGTTACAGGAGGAGGTACTTAGAATAGCATGAAAACAAAAAAAACTAACACGGAAGTATTGCGAGAAATGGGCAAATAATGCAAAATAATAAACACAATAAAAATAAGAAAGTTACAATATCTGGGACGCGTAATGAAAGGACAGCGATATGAACTGCTAAAGCTGGTAATACAGGGCAAGATAAGAGGAGAAAGGAGTTTAGGAAAAAGGAGAGTGTCATGGTTGAATAATTTAAGAGACTGGTTTAAATGCAGTTCTATAGAACTCTTTAGAGCAGCAGTAGATAAAGTAAAGATAGTGATGATGATATCCAACCTCCGATTGGGAGACGGCACTTAAAGAAGAAGACCACTGTTTCGCTAATTTGGCTACCAATTTAGCTGATGCGATTTTGTTTGTTAAAAAACCAGATGCTAAGAAAGTAGTTATGAAATAAAAAAATGGTTGTAACTCTACAAAGAACAAATTATAATACCAATTTAAAGGTACTTTGACACTATTTTTGCTAATGGGTTTAATATCTAAATTACTTACCATGAGCGGTTTCATAATCTCCTTCAAATGCTGCAGTTGCTCGCAAGCAAAAATCAGCCATGAACAGAACAAACTGTCCATGAGATTAGCGTGCATAAGTGAGAAGAACACGTAATAGATCTGGAAACCTAGAGAAATGAAATAAGCTCCACCCGACATTGCATTAAACGGATACCATGATTTTACCAGCAGTCGAGGAATTTCTTCTACGATGGTTTCGTTTGCGTTGTTGGGATCCTTTACGTTATGAACACTGTCTCCGACAAATGTTATACCAGTCCATGCTATTAGACAAAACAAGTATTAATTTGTAGCAGGGTTAGTAATAACAGCAAGTTTCAATAAACAGTTGTTTTTTGTAAACAGTTTTGAGAAAGTATATCTAGCTTGGATGAAAAGTGCTTGGTGAAAAGTGATGAAAAGATAGAGCACAATGGACAAAAATGAGGGAAGCTTATATTTAGCAGTGGACGCAAAGAGCTGGGTGATGATGATGATATCTAGCTTTGTAAATAAACTACGTTTTAATACACATTTCTATGTTTATTGGTGATTAATTACCAGGAAAGTAAATCTAAAATATCAAAAGTCAATTACACAATTATACAGTTAATGTAAGATCTTTAAGATAATAAGACTATTAAATTAATAATAGCTTTCTGCTTAGGTGCATTTAAATATCAGTACTTAAAACATATTTTATAATACTATCACACTTTACCTGCTGCTGAGAGCACTGTAGTTGCAACAACGCAGATCAACAGAGTTCTCATTTTTTTCAAAGCCAGTGCATGATATCGGTTGTTGGACTCTATAAATAATGGATGACTGTTTGGTTGATTCCATATTCCTAATGTTCTAAAATTAAAAAATAAATACAAAATTTCTTACAGTTAAACACCAAAAAATTATATGGTGTAAATACCGTGGTGCACCATAGATAGCACCTTTACGTGTGAACTAAATCAACTGGGAAGATTGCAGCAGTCAGACTGTATTATCAAGATCTTCTAGCTATTATATATCTGTATACACAATGACAACAAAATGGTTCTTAATAAATCACCAGAGAAGGAATATAGGATCGAGTCTCCGTAGAAATAAACATAGAAGTACTTAGCAGATCAAAATGCAAGCACTTATCAAAAATCCTTTCATGTTACTAAATTGGCATATCTACCATTTAAGAGAGGTTTGTAGATATCCTAGAAAAGCTTAAGACAGACAAAAAATGCCAGGATACTAAGCGCAAAGAGTACCAATTCATCATATTTATGGATGAGTTAGAGGCAATAAGAGAAGATTTCTTTTCCCTGAACCACATACATACTATAACTACAAAAGTTAAGCAGCTATAAAAAATCAATGTTTATAAACCTACTTAAGTAAAATAGGCTAAAACATAAAACACACTAACACAAAATACTCTAAACCAACTACTCAATGTACTCACTATGTATTACTCAAAAACTCCCTATTTTGTACGAAATAAGATAATTATCGTCAATACACATACATCGACACATTCATTAAAATAGGAAGGCTACGTTGGATTGGACATGTGGAAAGAATGGAAGAAGGCGAAATACCAAACAAAATATTCAAACAAGTGCCAGTAGGAAAAAGAACAAGAGGAAGACCGAAGCTGAGATACGTAGAACAAATAGAAAATGATATAACAACATTAAAAATTAAAAACTGGAAAAAAAGCACGATAACAGGTCAGAATGGAGAAGAATCCTTGAACAGGCCAAGACCCAAAAAAGGGTTGTCGAGCCAGTGATGATGATGATGACACATACATCGACAATTAGGCGAATTTTCAGACTAAGATGGAATTTTGGGAAAGTAAACTTAAACACCTTCTCATTAGACCTTGATAAGAGGTATCCCAAGAGGTTTCCATAAATATGTGACAGACTCTGTAAAATTCTGCGGAATAATTTTTCTTTTAAGAGGTCCATTAGATAACGTACACAATACAGTAACAAATAATAAAAATATATAATAAAACAACCCAAAATTCTCTGGCTTTTTTACCAACAAATAACTATTAACTGCTATGACCGACATCAAAAGGGATAAAAGCACCAGCTTAGTGAAACATAATTTTTCAAATTATTTGGTGTAACAGCGAAAAAATGGTAGTGTACAAAGCGACGGGCTATTGCAAAGCCGATACAACGGGCATTTTTGTGCCTCTTTCTAGAAGACAGAACGCGGCGATTCTTGATAAGAAGGAAACCGACATCTCTGCAACTTTGAGGCATATACCACGCAACAGAACTTTAACACATATTTGTCATGTAAGAAATATATTTGTCATTGTAAGAAAGCTTGAACTGTTAGAGAGTTCTGTTTGCCGGTGTCACCTCGCTTGTTGCAGAGGCTCGATAGAGCTTCTTACATGAATAAGCCGATATCTGTACTAACTCCTATACTAAGATGGATCATCGTAATACGAGATCATCTTCAAGAGCGGAGGCCGCTGAGCGTCCAGGAACTCCGGATAATGGAGAGGATGCCACGGCCGCACGACACTTCCTTAGTGGCAAATGATTATAATTATGCAATAAAAACTTTCTCTTATATGATATTCAATAGCTCCAACAGAAATGAGCAACGGTTTTGATATCCCTGGCCATATATGGGAAAAACAAAATTCGCACATAATACGATATCTGTCCAGGAAATCTATATAGATGGAAAACCCCCAAAACCTAACTGTGACTATGTATAATAGTTTCAAGCCAACGCATTCGTCATCTGGACGAATAAGAGCATACAGTAGTAATCGAACGGACTAATTCCCCAAAACTTCCAAAAATTTGAAGAGACTAGCTTCACATATTTTTAAAACACAATATAAAACTGCACAGACTATAAATTTTTAAAATGGTTCATATTATTATACTACCATGCTAAATAAAAATAACAAAAAAATTGTTGACATAATTAAGTCTACAAGATTACTTTACAAATATAGAACATCTAAATGATAGTTGAGGTAATAATAAATATTTCTTGTTAACTTACCTATAAAATAATTTTGACCTTAGTGCAAAGTAGACAAATTTCGTTATACAATGAGTGAAGAACAGGACAGTGATTGTATTGGCCGCTAAATCATTAACGTCTTCTCGTTCTACTACTAAGTTACCAAAAGTGCATCTAAAACAAAAGGTAAACGTAGAATAATTTTTATAAATTTAAAATTACTAAGATATGGTACTATGATATAAATCATATAAATAAAATGATTAAAAAACACTTTTTAATGATTTTTAATTAAGAAACACTGAACTGATTTTTTTAAAAGAAATATGAGAAGAAGCCCCACTGGCACTAATATGATTAAATATAATTTACTATTTTTACTGAGAATTTTTAAATTTTTTAATTTAATTATTTACTTTTCTGCCATCTTTTACCAAAGAAGTGCTCTATAACTTATTTTTAACGCTTTCCTGTCTTTTGTGGAAATAAGCCACAATCTTAATTTAAAATAACTTTATTCTAACTTGGCGATTTCCACTTCGGAAATTGTTCTCCAAATGAAACCTTTGTGACCAAAGATAAGATAGATAGACTATATCTAAATAATGAAATATGTATTTTACAATGAAACAAAAATATACTTACATATTTAATTTATAAATTATAAACTATTTATTTTTTTAAATTCTCAAATTTTTAAATTACTGTTCAGCTAACAACTGCTCATAAATTAATCTCTTGAATTTGACACTAGATAAATTTCTAATATTGTAGGACAAACTTTTTAAATTGCAAACAATTGAATACGAAAATGAACGTCTAAAAACACATGTATGTTTAGGTAAAGTGAGGGAATTTTTGTGTCGAAGATTAAGATTATGAACGTCAGTCCTATAAGTTATTCGATTGTACAAGTATGGTGGAACTCTCTCTTGAATGATTTTATTGCAAAAACATAAAGCATAAAGTTTTCGACGAATTTTCATATTTAGCCACTTGACTAGAGTGAAGACATAATTTATCCTTCCTGATGCCAAAAATTTCTGAAATTCCTGAATTTTGCAATTTCTCTATTCTCCATGAATCAAATTCAGCGAGACACGCATTGTAAACGACTCCACAATAATTTAATTTTGATTAAAACCAGAGCATTATACAATAATGACTTGCTGGCCCTACTTAATAAATAACGGCTTTCATAGAGTAATTTTAAAACAGCGTAAGCTCGTTTTAAACAAGCACTTACATGATATGTACACCTTACATCTTCGTCTAACCAAACCCCTAGGCTTTTAATCTTTTTGCTAAAAATTAAATTTTTATTTCCTAATATAGTTCGATTGGCATAATTCTCTATAAATATTTTCCTATGGAGATTCCTCCCAAATATGATATCCATAGTTGAGGTATCCATAATAATGCTGTGAACAGCACAACAACACAGGAAAATTAGATATAAAATTAGATGTGTATATAAAGAGAATAAAATTGGACCTAATATAGATCCTTGATGCATACCAGTATTAAAATCTATAAATGAAGAAATATATTGATTAAGTTTTACTGCTTGACATCTATTAGAAAGATAGGATTTCATTAGATTAATAATAATATTATAATATTATAATAAACAGCTGCATCCATATAAGGTTAAGGTTAAGGTGCTGGGATTAATCGTAATCCCAGCATCAGCAATAATAACATTCTTGTTGATGCTGGGATTACCATTTTTTTCAACGGTGTTATATTACGAGAAATATAATAAGAAAACTCAAATATAAATTCAGTCAATGGTATTTTAGTTTCATAGTTTTCAAGAATACCGTGTTTAATATTTCCATGTTTTAAAATTATCTTATTACACAGATCTAATGTCCATTTAGAAATCATATCATTAGTATAACATGTATTATCTTTTGTAATTTTCGCTGATTAGGTACAATTGATGTTACAAAGCAGTTACATAAGACCCAAAAATTATTTATTACGCATAATTAAGAAAACAACTTCCTATACATTTAGAAATTTTAGGTTAAACAAAAATGGTGGAATAACATAAAACGTATGACTGCGGTTTAGCGTGATTTGATTTGTCAACGATATGCTTCTTAAATATAATCTGAAGTTGCGTAGTATTGTTAGATTAATAAAAACTAACACAAAAGTAAAACGAGGTTCTACATAGTCGAGTGTCATCTCTTTATCGCTATTATTTTTGCTAATTATAATAAATATAATTGATAATTCATTAAAAAATTTCCTATGAGCGTTTTTTTTTGCTGATATACATATTTCCATATAAAGAATGTGCATTCTAGTTGCTGGGTATTGGCAAAAATGTAAAGTCCTTATTGTAGACATCCTGGTCTGTACAGAAGTTTATAATAGTAAAAAATTTAGAATACTAAAAAAAATTAATCATGTTGACAATAATAACTTTGTTTACGGCAACTCGCAACAGATAAGCAGTGTCTCTAGATAACACTCTCGAATATTTCGGAGCAAATATGTTCTTTCGGCGATCTTTCCCTGTATTATGAGGTGAAAAGATTATACATCTCTGGATGTTTCACTATATTGGCGAAATATTGTAACTTTGGAATTTTTATTATTTTTTTTATTTCTGTGCTCTCTTTCATTCGGTCTAAAACTATTTCATTCGTTATTCGATTAACCCAACTTATCCGCAATATTCTTCGGTAAATTTATATATCAAAGGCCTAAAGTTTTTTTTATTAGCGTTGCTGTAAGAGTTCAGTTGTTCATGCTATACAGCAACGTGGAAAATATGTAGCAGCGTATTAATCTGATTTTAAGGTTTAATGCAATATCTCTCGATATCGAAAATTTGAACTTAAACTTTACTCGAAATTAAATTAAAATTTAATGTTTAAATTTAAATTAAATTTAAACATTAAATTTAAAATAATAATCAGTCATTAGTTAATATCTTATTATTAATAGTAATATAGATATATTTAACATAAATAACTATAAAAATAACTTACCCGTATTGAACTAAGCATAAAACTAAATGGATACAGCAGTATCCAACTCTTAAGGTATGTAGCGATCCAGAATTGTCGGCGTGATAGTTAAACATGAAATGTCCAGAAGCCTGGATGAGTCTTATATTTGGCATCAAATCGGCCACAAGGCCGGATACCTTAAATTTCATCATCTGTAATCAAAAAAGGAATGTTTTAAAAAAAGCTGTCACAAAATCTAAGTAAAACAATGTAAAATAATCAGTTAGTTCGAACTTTCCTTACTTTCTTTATATTCTTGTTCTATGCTATAATATAATAATATATTTCCCATTCGATCTTGGATCGAACCCGATCTAAGTCTATCTTCCAATAATTATAACTATGGTCTGTTTTTAAACCAGGAGGAGTAATTAAAATTTTCCGCGCCATAATTCTTGTTTGTAATTGGTCGAAGCGCAGGCAAGTTTACTCCACTAAATTATGACATATTGACACTAATGACATTTGTGAAATTTTAAAATTCAAGATTTATATTGACAATTTTCTGTATTTTCTGTATTATTTCTTACATGTTTAGATTTTTCGTTTGCATTTATATAAAAAACTATTCTTTTTAGAACTATTTAGTGACATATTAGTGTTATTAAGATAACAATATGGATTCAATGCCAAGTACTAGTGGTAATTATTCTTCTCCACCTTAAAAACGCCGAGTAGATTTGGATCATTTATCATCAAATGAGAAATAATGTACTATAAACATGTACAAACATGAAAATTGATAATTCTGGAATAAACATAGCAGCCACGGTAGTAAAAATAAAACAGGCAGCAGGTTAGTTTTACAGAATAGTTATTATTAAAATCAAGACTTACTAAAGTAATGTGCTAATTTTAGGTGTTGCGAATTCAACTATTTACAACAATAGAATTTAGAACAATTAAAGAGTATAAGCAGACTGAAGCAGTAAAATGTCCTAAAAATATTGAAGGTCGACCTTATATTCTTGCAACATAGGATGAAAGAGTTAAAACATCTATACGACAGATAGTACACAGCTTCTTTTTCAAGAATGAAATGCTCACTTTAGGTAAAATTTTAAGTGAAATTAACAACCGCTCAGATCTTCCAAAATATGTGTCGTTCATTATTATATAAATTCTTTAAGCAAATCAATTTGAAGTAAGTACAAATATCGGTATGCAAATATGGATTAGCTACAATTATATTATTAGTTATTAACTAAAACATTTTATAGATTTCATTTTTATAATCAGGTATATTATTGTTACTATTAAATAAGTTTTTATTTGTATACTCTACTGGAATGTTGTCAAGTATTTTGGTTCAACAGATATAAGAACGTGGACAGGGAAGAAAAGGAAAAAAGGATAAATATTACTATAAATTGTTTATCTTACTGTTTATAGGATGATTGATTTATTGTCTATATTATGAATGTCTTACCATAGTTATTTTTTAGGGGAAATTATTCAAAGAATAGTTTATACATTGGGTTGCTGACCAAAAACTAAACTTTCTTGCTTAAATATCTGAAATAGATTCAGTTGTTGCTGAAAAATAAATCAAGAAATTCAAAATGGTGTAGTTGTTCATTAATCTCACCAAGACATAAATGGAAAGATTTTGGAAGACTAATAAAATTATTAAATTTTTATTTTTACATTCATTCCGAATATATATTATTCACAGAATATTATATAAATCGATTTCTGACTCTTTAAGTTGTTTTTGTAATAACTTGGACTTGGTGATATGCGTTAATAGTATTCAATGTGATATTTTTCTAGCTGATATATATAATAAATAAAGTTTACAGTGTTTATAAATTTATAAATGTATGATATTTATATCTAATTATCATAAGAAAAACAGCACTATCTTTTAAATTTGTGTATACTTGTTAAGAATCATTTTCATTTTCCGTTTTGTTCTTCCTGTTGTAGATCATCACAAGAAAACTACAAAATTATACTAGAATGTAACATAATAGATTGAATTAGTTGATTATCTCACATAAATCCAGTATTTTTTAGTAAATTTTATTTATTGATATCAAATGGGGCAAACTCACTGTCAAAATTAAACAAGAATCTAGCATTAAAGAAATTGCAAGTACACACTTATTTATACAAATTTATTGTTTTGCATTTTAGTGCTTCAAATAGATCCTTAAGATATTGATACATAAGTTAAATCTATCTAATGAGGTAACTGATTACCATGCATGAAAAGTAGGACCACACCTATATCTGAACCATAATTTATTCTGTGATATGAAACATGAAAAAGTCAATTCTAAAGCAGTGAATGGGAAGGAATATGTTAAACAAACTAGCTGAAGCAATTCAGGAGATTGGATTATTAAGCTTAAAAATAATTATCAAAGTCAAAGTTAATTCTTCTGGTAAGGAAAAAAACCTAGATTCAAGAAATTAATCACACCAGAATAAGAATATGGTCTACGCAGTTTAAAAGAACAGTACTTCAGAAATCTTTGAACTCTCTCTAACTTTTTGATACATGCATTTGCATAGCTTTGTTACATATAAGATCTATTTGCAAATTAAAAGACAGATTTCTGAGAAAAACCATACTTAGATCTGTAACATTATTGACTCTCTGGATCAAAATATTCTCTAAATTAAGTACCATCGACTCAAAAGATCTATAAAACTGGATCACCCGATATTTAAATATATATACATGGGACCAAATATGAAAAACGTCCTTTTTTATTGTAATAATTGTAATATATATTAATAGTGAATTAAAAAAAATATTCAAACATAAAGTTATGTTAGAATTGGCGTGTAAGGTTTTCCGATATTGATTACTCGATTACCGCAAGGCCGAGATATACAACAAAAAAAGAAGATGTATTTGGTGACTTTTCTACTAACTTTCTTGGGTGTGAATCTGTCTTTTTGGTTTACTCCTCCTGGTTAAAAAACAGAGTTTTATAGTTACCCTGTACATAAACGATTAATATTAATAGAATGTTTCTAATTTATAAAATTATTTGTTTTTTTTTTATTTTTGCTTTCTAAACGTACAAACTAATACTATTGAATTATAAATACAGTTTTTATGGGTATGAATGTACCTTTTGAAACAATAAAAATAGATATAAATATTTAAAGGTATCATCAAAATGAAATTAATTGGTCCAATTAGTGATATTTTACTAATTTTACCAATATTCTAATTACTAATTAGAATATTTTAGATTTACAAATTTTGTATGTTAAGGTAAAAAATATTCTTTCACGAAATATGAATTAAATATAATAAATAAAAATGATTTAGAGTTTTAGTCAATCAAATCGTGTGCATTTAAATATAAGTAAATATATTTCATCTTATATTGTAATTACAATTACGCTACACCTTTAGAAAGAGGGGAAAAATATGCTATTTGGGTTGCAATATTAAGGATACTTGGAATCACAGCCGTAGGAAGATTCTCTGCAACTTTTGTATAAGTATCAATATATGTATAAGAATTCTTAGATGTTACATCTTTAGTGTCCTCCTCTATGGAGTAGAAAGGTGGAGCCCTACAGAAGATGTAATAATACGATTGGAGGCATTTGAAATGTAGTGCTACCGACGTATGTTGAGCATCTCCTATAGACACTATACAATTATCATAACTATTCTTCAGAGGCTAAGAAAAAAAAAAACAGAAATTATTAACACCACCATGAAAAACAGAAAATTTGATTACTTCAGCCACATCATGGGTAATGATAAATACCGACTTCTACAGTTGATTTTACAGGGCAAGATTAAGGGTAAGAGAGGTCCTGGACGTAGACCTATATCCTGGCTAGCCAATCTTAGAAAATGGACTGGTCAACTGATCTATTTCGAGCTGCTGTGAATAGAATAAGATGAATCAATGTGGTCGCCAACATCTCTAGAAGATAGGCACATTTAGAAGAATTATAATAAGTCCATATTAGAGCTACCTATCTATCTTGTCATTAATATCTTTCTTTTCTTCGGGAGCTATTTTGTTTTGGAAAACATCATTGTTCTGTAAAGATTTATATCGTTATCCATTATTTGTAACTGATTTTTATGCTTATATTAATACATCTCAACATCATTAATGACCATTAGAATAACCACATCAAAATCGTTTAATTGTCTCATAGCAATTAACTTTGAAGGTCATATTAGATGGCCTCAGATAAGAAAACTCTTACTCCAAAAGAAGAATATACTCGTAATGGTAAAGGGATCATATAAGAACTATTCAGAATACACTTTACTGGGTCAGAAATAAATCTGATAGCACCAGATACATGATAGAACAGAATCAAATGGGGAATCAGCTAATTTGAGCTATATAAATCCCTGGATCTCGTTGGGATTTATCAAAAACTTCTAGAGAATGAAAATAATCTGTGCAAAAAATTATATATTATTAATTTACGCATTATGAATATGAAGGGTCATAACAATACAAAGCCTGAATACGAATCCTGTCTGATATTCTTCAAGAAACGTTTCGGTATAAGCCTTCAATCTCTCGTGCAAAATGTTTGACAATATCTTGTATGCTGTATTTGGGAGAGTTATTCCGCGGATAATTATTGCATTCCAGTTGGTTTCCCTTTTTGTATAACGGACAAATTAAGCCTAAGCTCCATTCTTCAGGCATTTGCTCGTCAAACCAAATTTTACAAACAATTTCTCGCATCACCTTGGTGAGCTGCTCTCCACCGTGCTTAAATAACTCTGCTGGGATGCCATCGCTGCCTGCGGAGTTGTGGTTCCTTAGTTTTTCTGTAGATATTTTCACTGCATCTACCGGGGGGGGGGGGGGGTTCCACGAGTTCCTCATTTCGGTATTCCAGCTCTATATTGTTAGTAGGTTCCCCTTCCAGCAACTCTTGAAAGTGCTCTACCCATCGTAACAGAATATCCTCTTTGTTGGTAAAAATTGACACATAAATTATACATTTTAAAGTAGACGACATTAAAATGATATTGCCAATATTGTTGAGTTACGCTCCTGGGACGACTTTACTTATTAGATTACATGAAATCAAATTAAAATTGAGAATATCTGTCAGAAAAAATCATAGCATGTAATTCGTCTGTACAAAGACAAATATATTTCATAATGACAGTAAAATTCTCCTCTTAGTGATTCCA